CTATGGCGGACTTTCCTCCTTCGGTACACCTCGGTTATGGCGCCTAACTGGCGCGCGTCTCCTTCCCCGCTGGCAAAGACGATGGTGCGTTGGGTAACGGGAACCAGCTCCGATACCAATGCAATCAGACTCGCTTTCTTTTCCACTTCGCATACATGCAAACAGATGGCGATTCACACTGGCGCATCGCGCCCACTCAAAGCTCAAAGATATGGAAAACGAGAACACAGTTAAGATGCAAACTCGCTTCAACAACTATGGCGCATCGGCGCCTGCACACCAACTTTCGTCACTGTGTCTGATACCATCGTTCGCACATCCTCAACTCTGGATCACCCTGAATACCACCACACACACACACACTAATTACTAACACTAACTCGGCGACTATGGCCGCTAACTACCACTGCCTATGCTCGCTCTATCTTCTTCAGCCCACTTCGTCTTCGGCCAAGCTGCAGACCACCTTCACACAAGATGTTGTAGCATGGCTTCCGCAGAGAATGAATGAATTGCTGGGCGCTGCTCTTGATTTATACTTCTGTTTCCTGCTGATCTGCTGCTTTCCACCAGGCCCTGGGTGTGCACAGTCCCAAACGGTACTTGCTTGACCGGACTCGGTACGACTGGGACTGGTAACCCTAACTGCATGAGGTTGCACTGCTGACTCAATGCAGTTGGACCTGCGAGTCACCTACAGACCTCTAGCCTAGCAGTTTCGACTTCTACACAGCTATGACCCTACTTGACAGACCTACAGATTGAACCCCTACATCTACACGGACCTACGACAGACAAACAACCAACTAGCGGGTTTAGACACTCGGGGGTCAACTCGATACTATACATCGGTAAGGTGACTGGGGATCGAGCTCTAGGGCCCGCATCTACGACTGCAAAAAGGTGAAAACCGTTTCAAAAATGGGAGAAAGGAGGAAAAGAACCATATAAGTCTATAAGACTATTATAAGTTGAAGTGGACGTTATCGTGAGGAGCAAAGGAACAGCAACAATGTGCTGAAAAGGCACAGACAAGCATGCTGTTGACAGTACACAATATGAGGAGACGCCGAGAAGCAATGCAGTCATCTGTGATCAACCGCAGACAGACAGGATTGAGTGGGACCGGTTGAGCAACGATTTGAGATGGACTAAGCCAGCATCAGAGAGACAGCAACTGTGATGGACAATGACAGCCTCAGAGAGATGGAGGCTGCTACATCATCTGCACAGGTAGTGCGATTGGGGTCAACTAGTCCCCTGCTGACGAAACCATACGGATGACCACAAGGCCGTGAGCAGCAGAGGAAACCCAATGCTTTTGCGTACATCAACTAAAACAGAAAAAGGGCTAACGCATCCGATTCCCTCCAAACTCAGAAGTCAAGCGCTACTGAGATGGGGAGCGCTCTTCACGAAAAACTGAAGAAAAGAGCCAACAGCATGAGGCACACTGAAATCACTCTTTTTGCCTTTCCTGTGCAGTTCTTTCTTTCCTTCCTTCTCTTTCTTTCTTTCTTTCTTTCCTACTTTCTTATTTCTTTCTTCCTTACTTTCCTGCCTTCCTTTCCTCCTTTTTTTCCTTTCCTCCCTTTCTTCCTTTCCTTCCTTTCTTCCCTCCCTTCCTTTCCTTCCTTCCCTCCCTCCCCTTCCGCCCTTCCCTCCCTCCCTCCCTCCCACCTTCCTTCCCTCCCTCCCTCCCTCCCTCCCTTCCCTCCCTCCTTCCCTTCTTTCTTTCTTTCTCTCTTTCTTTCTTTCTTTCTTTCTTCCTTTCTTTCTTTCATCTATTCCTTTAAGCTCACCACGTTGATGTAGTTCAGCAAGCTGCAGCCTATACCCCCATGTGCACTAACATTGCACTCACACGCTGTATAAGAGAGGTAAAAGGAGAGGGGATACAGAGAGAGGAAACATGGAGAAGGGAAGACGACGAGAAAGTACGGAGTGTGGAAATGAAAAAAAAAAACAGGGATGTTGCTTAGGTACTCCTGAAACGGTATTCACCAGTTCGCAGTAGCCGATGCAGATCCGAGGGCTCGATCCCTAGTCCCCCACCTTACCTGTGTACAGTATCTGTGTCGACCCCTAGAGTTGAACCCGTGACCTGTGTATTTGTAACAGTTGGTAGACTGTCGTAGGGTCCATATGTAGTAGGGGTTCGATCTGTACACCTGTCGAGTAGGAGTCTTAGTCAGGTCTAGAAGTCGTAGCTGTAGATTTCCCGAAGGGTCAAGGTCGTAGCTGCTACAGTCCAGAAAGTTCAAGGTCGTAGCTGCTACAGTATCGAAAGGCCAAATCTACGGCCTTCCGGAAGGTCCGAGTGGTGGCCTTTCGAAGTTGCCCATGTTTAGACTGAGGCAAGTGGGCAAGTGGTGGAGTCTACCCGTGCTGAGTCAGCAGTCCCAGTCCCAGTCAGTCTAGCAGTGGCCTTTCGAAGTTGCCCACGTTTAGACTGAGGCAAGTGGGCAAGTGGTGGAGTCTACCCGTGCTGAGTCAGCAGTCCCAGTCCCAGTCAGTCCTAGTCCAGTCAAGCAAGTACGGCATGGGACTGTGTGCACTACGGGCATGGGAAAGGGCCAGACCAACGAGCTGCAGAAGTATAAATCAAGAGGTAGCGCCCAGCCATCCATTCATTCCTGCGTGAGCCATGCGGAAGCGCTGCCACAGCAACTTGTGCTACGTGGTCTGCAGTGAGCCCGAGGATGAAGTGGGCAAGAGAGAAGGAGGGTAGCCATAGCGATAGGGTAGCAGCGGCCATAGCCGCCATAGCTGTAGTTAGAGTTCAGCGTGTGAGTGTGTGTGTGTGTGTGCTCAGAGTAACGTGCGTGGGATATCCAGGGTGATCCTGTGTGTGCAAACAAAGAGTTGTGTGGGCGCTCTGACGCCATAGCCATCTAAAGTGAACTTGTATCTGAGTTGCGTTCTGGTTGTCATATCTCTGAGTTTTGAGTGGGCGCTTGTCGCCAGTTTGCTGCGCACCTGTTTGCATGCATGAGAAGTGTGAATGAGAGCGAGTCTGATTGCATTGGTATCGGACCCTGGTACCCGCTATTCCACGCGCCGTCGAGTATTGCAGAGAAGAGTTATGCGCCATAGCCAGAGTAGCCATCGGAGAAGAAGTCCGCCATAGCGGACCTGGAGGTTGAAGAAGCCGCCGCGCGCACCTCCAAAGGAGACCACGACGAAGAGAGAGAGAGGGAGAGAGAAGTTGACCACGAGTTTGACCAAGCTGGAGCCAGTATAATCTCGCCAAGCCTTCAGCCTATCCCCTCGCCCTATGGATGTGCACACACCTTGTGGTACTTGCTGAAGTCAAGTCTGTCTGTCTCTTCTTTCTGCATCGAGTCTCTTCTATCGGTGATAGGAACTCTGTGGGTTGAGTAGGGCTAAGGACTGTGTTTAACGACTCGACTGTCCCGGAGGACACGAACCCTCCCAAGGACCGGTACTGACCGGCGGGCTGCTCGAGGTGGCACGGTAGGCCCGAAATCCGAGTTGTGGGCTGCACAACAGGCCGTCTAATTCTTGAGAGAACCTGCTGATCACGTCGTCCTATCTGCGACGTTAAATAATTCCTGAGGAGTTACGGGGGATCTCCTTAAATGCCTCCTGATCAGCAACAGGTCTTGTAGTGATAGCCTTAAGAGTAGGTCTAGGCTAGAGATCCTAGTTGACAGGATCCTGTCCGGATTTTGTAAGTCCGAAGATCGAGTCGGTAGGTTTGTCAGTCAGGGGGAGTAGCATCTAAGTGGTGAGGAGTGGAACTGTTGTCTGGTTGTGCACCTATCACCATGGTTGACACCCGTAGTGGGAAGAGCATTGTTCCCCAATCCGAGGCCAAGCAGGCCCGGATTGCCGCCATCCTGAGGGAGAGGAAAGAGAAGAGCTCCTCAAGCAGGCGGAGCTAAAGGCTATAGCAGAGGATCAGGCGGCAAAGAAGAAGAAGTTAGAAGAAGAGATGTTGAGATTCCAGAAGGAGAAGATGATGATGTTAGAGCGGGAGGAAGAGGAGAAGAGAAAGGTTGTCGAGGAAGAAGCAGCGACAGAAGAAGAGGAGGAGGTAGTGGAAGAACCCCTTGAAAGAAGGCGAGGGGAAGAAAGAGGAGAAGCAAGTAGCACGAAGGGAGAAGACGCGTGGATGGAGAAGATCAGCGTATGGGTGGCTAACTTATCGCTGGGAGAGGATGAGGAGGCACTATTGTACGTGGCGCAGGAGGAGAGAGAAGCGTTTGCAAGGGTATTAGAAATGATAGAGGATCCCCTGGAACGTTAGACAACAGAGGATGAGATGAAGTTGGAGTGGAAATTGTGAATGATGAGGGAGAAGAAGAGAAGTAGGGAGGAAGCCAACCAAGTGGCTAGAGAGGTGGAACGGGTCCGGGCATGGAGACCGGAAATGCAAGCACAAACAGAGGTCCCTGCAAAATTAGATAAGATTATAGGGTACCTGGAGGTCTTGAGTGAGGCCTGGCTTGAGGAGCATCAGGCCAACAAGGGTCACGATGTGACCCTTCATGCCATCCGGTCCGGTTTTAGGGAGTTTACTCGCGACGTTGTGACCCGCGTCGGGTCCGAGGTCGAAAGACTAAAGGAAGGCGTAGACAAATTCTGCGCAGGCGCCATCAGAAGCGCCAAAGCGGTGGCCACTACAAAGGCCACAGCACGTCAACGCAAAGAGCCCGTAAAGCTCAAATTTCCTGCTGCCTATGGCGGGAAGAAGGACAAAAGTTTCGACAACTGGGAATGTGCAGCATATTGCCCCCGAGGAGCAAGTCCTTGTCGCCTTCCATGCATTAAAGGACGAAGCGGCTAGCTTCGCCATGTCCCTCGCGCGCTCTGGCGATTGTGAGCATAACATGATTGCTTATTCTAGGCTCACCCCTCTCCCCACTTTCCTCAAACTCCTGCGTGAGAGGTTCGCTAACGTCACGAGAGGCGTCAGGGCCTCTTACAAGCTCCAAACCATCCACTCGCGACGGAGGAGTGTGCGAGCACTCAAAGCTGTCATGGACGACTTGGTAGCCGTCCCGGACCATGGAGTCACTGAGACCCAGTTGGTCCAGTTGTTTTATCGTGCCATGTCAGAGCCCTTACGAGGGCACTTCTTTGACAAGACCCAACAGACCAACATCACATATGACGCATTGAGTAGGGAAGTGGTCTTGTTTAAGGCCAAGTCCATGCCAGTTTCCACTTTCTGGCACAAGGACTTAGATAAGGGCAAAATGTGGAATGGTCGTACCATCTCTAGCCAAGTCAGGGCCAAGGATCATCTGATCCTTACTTACGAAGGTGGTACAAACGAGGTCCCTTACAGTCAGATTGAGTGGGGCCTCGAGGAGGAGGACAGTAGCGTAGGACAGGGGAGGTCCTATGCTGCTATCGTGGCTGGAGGGAGGCCGCAAGGTAGAGGAGGAGGCCAAGGCCAAAGGGGCCAGGCCTTGGGAGGCCAAGGATCGGGCGCACAGGGGGTTGGCGGTCAAGGGAACCGTCTAGCGGGAGGTAGGGGTCAAGGTCCCCCGCTGAATCGCCAAGGTCCCAGTCGGTCCCCACAGCAACGAGGTGGCAGGTCACCTCAGAGGTCAGGAGGTTGGCACCCAGGTTGGTTACAAGGTCGACCTTGGGAAGATCTGGGTTTGGAACAGAAAGTGTGGCAACAGCGCATGAGCAGGGGCAGTGCATTTATTGCGGTGACCCAGCCCATATCATTAAATATTGTCCCAAGAATAGACAGGCCGATGGGCTGCCCAGGAGTCAAAAGGCAGCCGTCGGTAGGGGTTGCAACTGCCCCTACTACTAGGCCATGTGGGGAAGCGAGCGCGCGCGTTCAGGAAACTCCCACATCATATGAGCCTTCGGCAGAGGTTGCAGGCCCGTGCCTAGTTAGTTGTCCAGAGACTGCTTGTGTTAGCGTCTCTCTAGGCACTTCCCTCACAGGCGTGGCAGAAGAGTTGAAGGAGAGGATGCCCGTCTGGGCCGAAATGAAAAAAAATAGTAAAGGGCAGCTAGTGTTAGTTGATGTAGAAGTTTTCAGAAGTAGAGTAGGGGCCCTTATAGACTTAGGGGCTACTTGTAGTTATTTTAGTCGTAAAGGATTGAAGAAGTTGAGGCTAGGGTTGAAAGTCCAAAAGTTCGAAGATCCTATAGTTAGTGTCCTCGCAGACAGCCGCACTATGCGTGTTGAGGACTACGTAGAGGGAGTCCAGGCGTATTTCCGCCTAGAGAAAGATGGGAAGGTGGAGAAAGTTCTCCACTCCCTGACTCTCCTCTTACAGGATGACCTTCCTTTCGACAGAGTCCAAGGTATGGACTGGGGAGAGGCAGCAGGGGCCACACTCCACTTGAGAGAGCATGAGTGTAGGCTCCCTAGTCCGTCAGGCGAGGTTAAGACAGCTCGTCTGTTCCACGTGTCAGGAGTAGATAACTCGCTGGCACATTGCTGTCTCAGTGCTCCCGCGTTTGCGCGACGAGTGAGAAAGGAGCAGCTAGAGGATCAGGTCTTCGTAGTGTATGTCAGACCTGTCACTGAGCCTAAGGAAGAGGATAGTTCCATGGATCCAACCATTGCCAAGCTGCTGGAAGAGTTTAAAGATTTGACAGAGTTGCCGACAGGAGTAGTGTCGCGGCCGATCTAGCACAGAATAGAGGTAGAGTCTGGCAGTAAGACTCCCAAGGGAGCAGTTTACAGGATGTCCCCTAGGGAGTTAGAGGAGTTGCGCAAGCAGTTGGACGAACTCCTCGAGAAAGGTTGGATTAGGCCCAGTTCGTCTCCTTTTGGAGCACCAGGTTTGTTTGTCCCCAAGAAGGAAGGAGAGTTGCACATGTGTATAGACTATAGGGGTCTGAATGCAATTACCGTTAAGAATGTTGAACCACTACCCAGGATAGACGATCTCTTAGATCGGGTGCAAGGCTGCAAGGACTTCTCAAAGATAGATTTGAAGTTCGGGTATCATCAGATAGAGGTCCATCCTGATGACCAGTATAAGACTGCCTTTCGGACTCGTTATGGGCATTATGAGTTCATAGTGATGCCCTTTGGACTGACCAACGCGCCTGCTACATTCTAGCGCTGTATGAATGATCTGTTTAGGCCTTGGTTAAATAGATTTGTCGTAGTGTATCTAGACGACATCTTAGTATTCAGTAGGACCCTCCAGGAGCACCAGGGTCATTTGAGGCAGGTCTTGGAGAAGCTGAGAGAGGCTAACTTCAAGATCAATGCGAAGAAGTGCGAGTGGGCCAAGACACAAGTCTTGTACTTGGGCCACGTGTTAGACGAAGATGGCATTAAGCCTGAGGACAGTAAGATAGCGGCGATTAGAGATTGGCCGACGCCCCGCACACTGACTGAGTTGCAGTCGTTCCTAGGTCTAGCTAACTATTACAGGAAGTTTGTGAGGAAACTTCTCGACTATCGTCGTTCCGCTTTGCAGGTTGCTCAAGAAAGAAGCAATCTGGCAATGGGATAAAGACTGTACGTCTGCACTAAAAAAGTTAAAGTGCGCATTGATAGAGTATCATGTCCTCAAAGTAGCAGATCCGTCTTTGCCATTTGTCGTCACCACGGACGCGAGTCAGTATGGAATAGGCGTCGTGTTACAGCAGGACGACAGCAATGGCTACAGACCCGTAGAGTTCATGTCAGCGAGGATGCCCTCAGAGAAGGTTGTTACCTCGACGTATGAGAGGGAACTCTACGCTCTCAGGCAGGCCTTAGAGCACTGGAAACATTACCTGCTTGGGAGGCACTTCAAGGTGTTCTGGTTGCCATATCTCTGAATTTTGAGTGGGTGCTTGTCGCCAGTTTGCTGCGCACTTGTTTGCATGCATGAGACGTGTGAATGAGAGCGAGTCTGATTGCACTCCACATCAGGGAAAAATATTAAAAGACGAATAAAAATGGTACCGCTTGGTGTGGTACCAAACTGAGGTGGGTAAAGGCCTGTCATCATCGATAATGGCAGCGACGGCAAAACTGATGGCCTGAAACCTGGCATGGGCTGGTCCAGGGTATCCTGGATAGCGTCCAGTTTCTTGTCCATGTATGCATGCATGGACATGATGCTCGCCTTGAGAATCTTTGTAGTGTTGTCAAGCGTCGAGTCATCTGATCCCTCTAACGCAGCTTTGCCTGCCTCTCTTCCCTCGAGTCTAACACTTTTATTCCTAATCTCTCTCTCTTTCGGTAGCCTCTTTAAGTTCCTTCTCTAACCTTAAGCGGATCCTCTCGACCTGCTGGAGCTCCATTTGCTCCCTGGTGCGTGGAGGTGGCAAGCTGGACTGAACACCCGCCATCTGACTGGTTCCGAATCCTGTCGTACTGGAGCTGGACTACTCGTTGGTGTCCGACATTCCTAATGAAAAAAACAGACGAGGTTGCTCCAGACGACGCCGCAGATGTAGCCATTGCTACTGCGCTAGCTGCTGCTGTTGCTAACGTTCTCTCTACAGTTGTTGTTGCTTCCCTCGCAGTCTCAAGATTACAGGCCCTTGCTTCGGCCCTTAGCCTTCTTTCTTCTCCTGGTAGCAGGATATGGAACACTATAGGTATCACGGCTAGTTTGCCTTCGGTCGTCCGTTGTGCCTTCACCACCTTTTGATCCACTCATCGGCTAGGCAGGCGTTGTCTGCACTATCGTTCACTTTGTAACCTACCGCAGCACGTGTCTGACCAGTTCTAAAAAAATAATAAAATAATAATATACGGCAAGTAACCTAGGTACCGACATCAGTTACACAGACCGGACACATAATCTAAATCTACTTCGATTAGTTCTCTTACAAAAGCTTTGGTAGAACATTACAGTCCTAATCTAGGTTGTCTGTGAGGTGTCAGCAGTCGGTCAACCAACTAATCAAAATAAAAATAAACTATGTGAGCAGATGTATGCACAATGGGTATAGTTGTGTTTCCCAGTTGAGTCTTAATTGGGATCTTCCTCCCCTATATCCAATGTGCCTGTAGGCATCATCAAGCGGCAATGTCTTATGACGAACTGCCCGTTCTTTACTCTGCATGCAACGAGCTTTACGTCTGACTGGTCTGGCTGATCAAGAGGCAGTTTAAGGACGGCCCCCACGGTCCTCAGGAATTATTTAACGTCGCAATGAGGATGACGATCCCAGCCCCTAGACAGTTCCCCCCACCTGAAATATTAATAGACGGTCTGGATAGCGTCTGCATATGACTGGTCAGTCTCCACATCCCTTCTATCAGCGCAGTGAAGAAGCCTCAAATGACAAAGCAGCATGGCCTGCGTGTACTACTCCCATGGGTTGGCATGATGACCGTGACCGTGCTTCGACCAGGGCCCTTCAAAGGCACCACCCTCTCCTGGCAGATGCACCACCGGGAAGAATGTCGTCTCTCAAGGTAGAGCGCTCACGACTCCGCACACAAAAGAGAGGACACTCAAGGTTGGACTCACTTCCTCACGGTAAGAAGAGATTGAGAGGGTAGATAAGGTAAGGGAACAACATACCTCGAGATAGCTGCCCCCAACCACAGATTTCTCACCAATTGAGCCGACGTGCATTCCGATGACCGGTCATAGCTTCGGTACCACCCACAACATATTGCAGTGCCACCTCAGCCAAAATGCAACATCAGCATGCTCTCATCATCATACATACATCCGCTGTCGCCACAGCTCCCACTCTATCGCCACAGCCTTCCAGCGGCCGACCCCTCTACATGGGTCCCACTCAACAAACCAGTGCCAATGTATCCTCACTGCATAGAAGCATCGTCAGCGCACCAAGTAACAATGTCGCTGGCGCCATGTAAGTGGCGATCTCGAACCAGCTCTGATACCAAATTGCAAGGAATATGAGAGGGAACGATATACAGAAAACCAAGTTGCGAAATCACACAGATGTCCAAGTAGTCGTACACAAGCAAAGAGCACAATTGCACCGAGATTCCATCCAAATAAGAACAATACAATGAAGTCATGAGCCAATGTTCAAGCCCTCAGGCCACACCAACACAATATCCAATGTCGCTCCTCCCTGTCTGGCGCCCAGCGCCCGACCTTCACCACTTGTCTATCCTACCTACATCAGCATTCACGCAACAGGCTCAATCTGACTTCGAAGACCAATGTACACAACGGCAACACCATAGTCGACCTCCCTCATGCACCAGGTACGTATCTCATCTCCCCTCATCAGTCCCTGACCACCCACACTCGCCGCCTTCCTGAAGAGCACCGATCGCCCTTACCCCCGAGCACCCTGCAGCCCGGCTATGGCTGGTCCCGCTCCGCTGCCCAGCGGTGCCCCTCTCACCTCTCAAGCGCCCACCTGCGCCCTGGCCACTAGCGCAGCATGCAGCCTATCCCACAGCATGCAGCCTATCCCACAGCAACGCAGCAGCGTGACCACAATGCCTGCGTGCGCCGGAATGCCAGACCCTGGCTGCCTCCTTCCCTATATGGAAGTGGCAGCCTCTGTGTGGCTGCGTGTGGCCTCGTTGGGAAGCTTCCAGCAGCTTCCGGTCGGGCCCCAGTGCCTGCACCCAGGCCCAGTGCTGCAGTTAAGAGCATGGGCCCTTTACAGTTGGGCACAGACTGAGTTTCCCGGCTTGGGCCGTTTGCTGCATTTGCACAGGACCCCGGGTATGTACGTCGACAATGCTGCTTTTGCGTAGGCCCGTAGCCATTTCGTGATGTATCTGCCCTGCAATGTGTACGTGCCCAGGCGCAACTACCAAGGCCTGGGCCTAACTGTATGACACAGCTTAGAAAGGCTCACGCTTCCATTCAACCAACTGGCATGCTGCAACAGCCTGAGTACCCACATATGTAAAATGTCAGATCTTGGCCTCTAGCGAGTATGCAGGCCCGCCTTCACTTAGGGCGGGCACTGGGCTTGCTGAGGGCCTCTGCCCAGAATATGTGCATGTCTGATAAGGGCCCTGCGAGGGCTCATTCCTCGCACCATGGTCCCCACCATATGTTTGTGGTCGCTGATCCTCCCTTTACTTTTCTTTTTTTCCTCTTAATCTACGACTCAGAATTTAGAATCCATGCCAGTGGAACTAACCATATGTTTCTGGGCATTGATCCTCCTTTTTTTCCCTTTCCTTCCTCTTAATCTACGGCTCAAAATGGGGCCTCACTCCTGGACAAATAGCACAATTTGTTTTCTGTTTGTTTTTCTTTTTTTTTCCTCTTTTTGGAAAACCGTCTTAGTGCGAAAGGCCGCAGGGTCGAGGTCCCATTAGCAGTCGGATAGTAGTGTGGCCGATCCAGTGTGACACTGAGTGGCAGCGGGCTGACAGGTTCAATACGAATTTCTGGGCTGAGAAAACAGGAGAAAGGCAGAAGGAAAAAAAAAGAAACAGAGACCTCCCACCAAAAATCACGGCAGAGTGCTTCTCAGCCATCAGATCACAAAGGATGGTGGTGGTTGTGACAACAGTGAACAAAGTAACCGCCACATTTCCTGGAATAAACTTACTTCTGTTTGCAGTGATCCTGACACCCTCCATGTACTCCGTGATTGAAGGAGGGCTCCACCCAATGAGATAATTGCACAACAGTGAACAAAGTAACCGCCACATTTTCTGGAATAAACTTACTTCTGTTTGCAGTGATACTGACACCCTCCATATACTCCATGATTGAAGGAGGGCTCCACCCAATGAGATAATTGCACAACAGCAAGTAAAATACTGAAAATATTCTATCCAGTGGGCC